GTGTGTGTGTGTGTGTGTGTGTGTGTGTGTGTGTGTGTGTGTATATACATACATATATATATATATATATATTTACATATACATATAAAAGAAACGCTTTAGTGTGCATGTGATTATGCACGTGCTTCACTTAAAAGCAGTTCTCATAAATGCATCAAACACTCAACAGCTTAAGAGTGAGAGGACAGATTAATTAAGGCTTTTGTTTCTTACTTGACAGGAACATCTGTGATGCTTTTGTCCTTTAAATGTTCTGATTCCCTAAAACAAGTGAATAATAACTATTGCTGATTTAGGCTTTATTTATCCAGTCTTTTTATTGAATGAATCCTGATGCTCAAAGGTCCATTTTGCTTTTTCCACTACCTCCATATTTCTCTGATGCCTTACTTTCTCCCTTATGTTTACCGCCTCTTTTTAACATTCAGCTGTACGCTTTACAAAGACAGGCTCAATTTTAATGTTTCTATGCAAAGCTATATTTATTTTTTGTGCTAAACTTGTTTGTATAAATGAAGTACACTGATGAATCTGTATTGTGCTTTGATAAGGCCGCTCAGCCAGAACATAGAAGAACAATCTCACTGATGTATGAAGGTTTTGGATTGAATAATAAAAGGGAAGAGAGATGAACAGATATAGGGCGTACGCAGAATAATGAACGGGGTTTTCACAAAGGGTTATTATGTATAAAAGAGATATGAAAGCTGATTCATCTGGGGAAACATCTATGGATGTTAGACATCCATGTCAGATCAAATTAAGGTAATTATGCGATGGCAAATAAGATATGGGAATAGGGGAGTTTTCAGATAGGTTCAATTGATACTGACACAAACAGTTAACTTATTAAACAAATCTTTCTTCTTACAAATAATGCTGAAATTCTCTTAACAAAGCACTTGTAGCAACTTTATCACATTGAATATTCACAAGCAATTGATGTTTGTTTTTGTCCTGTGTAATTTAATAAATAGGACCTAGGAGACTGAGTTGATGAATAATTAAAACACATGAGACTTGCAGTATCTACACTTCCAGTCAGAGTTTTACATGCAGATATCACTACAATCATTACATATTAAGTTGAACCAGTTATTCGTTTACTTAAACAATTGTTTTTTGTTTTTCTGGACAAAATGATGAAGAAAAAGGATCTGCAAAGATTTAAATCAAGTTTGTATTAATTTGATCGGTTTAGTTATAATTGTATCCCTTTAAACCACAAGGGGGTGGAGTAATATTTATACAGAAGCTCAAGTTTGTACATAAATCTCCACTAATATACTGTAAATGTGGGTTGTAATTTGACCTAATAAGTTTTATAACCATGAACATTCTTATGGCTGATTTTTTGAATAGATCCTGGCAGTATTGACAGGCTTCATAGTGCTTCACTGAAGTTGTGACTCTGGGAACTTTCTTCCACAAACGTAACTTTTTCCTGCTGTATCCCTACTAGCCTCAGTTTTGGACAATTCTTCTGTTACATAACCAGTGTGTTCATGTTTACACCACCTAGTTGGAGAGTTGTGGTGAAGTCTACTTTCATTACTCCCTTCATCTTTTATCTGTAATACACCCGCCGTGGTTGACAGTTGTTGCAGTTCTCTGAGGTTTTCATTGCATTGTCTGATTTCTCAAATCCACATTCTTGCTTGTGGTAAAACTCCTCAAATTTGTCTTGTCTTTAACCTCTCAGAACCCACCGGGTCGCCGCCGACAAGTTTTAAAGCGTTTACATCTAATAATAAAATTGGATGAAAATTACACTGGTAAAATGTTTACCAATATAGACATTTCGTTGGACTGCTTAGATTCTCCACAATTCAACCACCAAGTTCATTTTATAGACGCAGCGAGCACTAAAGCACAATTAACACAAATATAGCAGCATGTCAAAATGCAAACATGACAAAGCAGCCACAGCAAACAACCATGTCTTATTACTGCTGTTCAAAAGAGACCTATTATTTTCAAGGATAAAAAAAAAAAACGACTTTGAGTTATGTTTGATCTAATGTAGCTTGGGCTGTGTTCTACTCATCCAAGTTTCATTATTTATATTTCATATTTATTCATAAACTACAAGGTGTTAGCTTTCAAATAATGTATCACACATGTAACATGGGCTTACAGTTCCTAAATTATTTGCTTTTCAATTTGGGTATGCAAAATAGGCTAGATTTTCCCAAAATGAGGTGGATGTTAAGAGAATAAAGTTAGACTTTTCTCCAGAAAGTGGTGTTGCATTTGTATACAGCTGCAGGTTTTCTTTTTCCCCAGAAGTATTATAGCCCTACCAAGCTTCAAAAGATCAGCCAAGACTTTATTTGATCTAGTCTTTTCCAAAATTTTTGAAAAGCAGTCCAAAATCCCTGCCACACACACAAAATAACAATAAAAAATACATAAAATAGAAGGAATTAATATTATTGGAACCTGATACAGTATAATAGTAAAAGAAAACTGTGACACTTGATCCCTTAATGGATTTTCTTTCCAAGTTAAGAAGCCATAGAGCCATTAGCCCCAGCTTATAAAAGATTTCATTGGAAATGTGGAAAATTGTATGATTATTTTTTAATCTGTCTGTAATTATAACCGTATGTAGAGAAATTCTACAACAAATTCTAGCTTTTGCATCATTCAGTAGAATAGAATAGAATTCAGCTTCATTGTCATTACACTGTCACAAGTACAAAGCAGCGAAATGTAGTTTGCATCTATCCAGAAGTGCTGTACAGGATAAAGATAATTATTAACATGTGCACAGACTAAATATGTGGACTATAAATGGCATATATAGGCAGAGAGTAATTGTAAGAGACTATGAAAAAAAGAAATGAAAACTATTTAGGGATTATACAGCATTATTGTACTCTTTGTAAGATAAGTTTAAATAAGCTCTTAGGATGTTGATGATGAGCAGATTGAAACTTCTAAAGACAATTCTAGGTGTTTGATTTTCTTTACGTGATTATTTTACATATTTATCTCTCAATATGACGTTTGTTTTATCTTTTATTTTTTGCTCACTCTGTAGGTATGACAAGGAAGGTTATGCAGTCGACAGCCAGTCGTTAACAGAAACCATGTCAGTCAGCATTGGACCAAAGATGAATTGGAAAACGCTGAGCGATGTTAAGAATGAAAACATGGGACACGGCGAGAAGGTAGGATATACACAGGCGCAGCTTATTATTACACAAAGGTCTATTTTTCAGCATTGTTGTCATGGTTATAACGAGAAGTGGGGTTCATCTAAACGTTGTATGCCACTCGCTAAACATTTCATCTAATTAATTTGGTTTATCTCAGATTAGTTTTCCTCTTTCCGTGCCTTTAATTGGAAACTGATTATGGATAGCTTGAAGATCAATGATGTTACTAATGAAAATTTCTAATTATGTTCTAGAGGAAGCCTAGAGGGCTAATATTACTAGAAAAGTGTGGAAGCATGGAAGAAAAAAAAGTGAAGTGGTGATTTTAAAGCACAACAAAAAAAAAGGTGTCATTTAAGATTTAAGTGCTAAGCAATCTGTTTTGCAGAGTATAACGGATATAGTACTGTAAAAAAGAAAAAGAGGAGAGGAGAATTTTTCAGAATTCGGTACAGACAAATGGTTTTAATGTCAGGTGCAGGGAGGTGAGTTCAAAAGAGAGAAATTCTCATTCTACCTCTTTTGTCTTGGCCTCTTTTCTCTTCTGGATTTTGCTCAGCTGTGTGCACCCCCAGCTGTTTCTGTAATTGAAATGAAAAGAGAGGAAAAGGGTTCTCGTCATACACTGTGAGGCTACAGCTTAAGTTAAAGCTATAGAATCTGTGTGATTCGCAGTGTTCCAAATCTGCATTCTTCTCATTTCCTCCATATTTGTGGGTGGAGGGATTTGATGGTGTGTTGGAATAGTGTGTGAGGAGCATGTTAGAGATGGAGGATGATGTGGGATATTAGTGTACAATCCATTTCAAATTAATGCAGATATCCGTGTGTGTCTGGGGTTTTGGGACAAGCATTAAATTTCTCGTGTGCAACCACATCAATTATGTGAAGTGGATTTTCACTTGGTTACCCTTCCACTTGTAAATTTTAATTACTTTTAGGTGCCAGAAGGTGACACTGGGATTTGGTGTGATAAGAATTAAAATGCTTTCACATTGTAGCATGTGTGTCAATCTTCTGGTAAGTGTGCATGAAAAGCTTTGTGCTTATGAGTGTCTGAGTGGGTTTGGGAATGTGCCACTGGTGGTGCTCTGGTAAGCTCTCCTCAGCGTCGTTAAGGGTAGAAACTTTGCCCCAAAATTTTTCGTCTATGCAGAGGCTTAAAAGACTTTATAATCTGGTAAGTTTTACAAATTTAGTAGATGGAGAATGAGATGTTTTTGTTTTTATTTTATTTTATTTCTTTGCAAATATAGTATAAAACAGACAAAATGCATTTATGACTGGGCTAAGGACTCTAAAACTTCTTAAAGATTATTTCCAATCCATTGCATTCAGAGGTCAGCTAATTAGTAAATCCATTAATCATTTGTGTTTTTTAAGTTCCCACACAGTCAGCAAAGAATAGGGTTTAATTTCAGTATTTCTCCGGTCTGGATAAATATGGAAACATTTTTTATATGCAGACATTTTTTTTCACAATTTTATCTCCAAAAGGTAGTGATCTTCCTTATTTTTTCTCACAGCCTCAATTAATGCCTTTTCTCCCTCCATCCCTATATCATTCTTGTCTTCCTGTTATCTTCCTTTTGTCTTTTTCTCTATCCTTTCTTCTTTACTTTATTCCTTTCTTTCTTTGTGTCTGTCTAGTAAAACTGATAGTTTAGGCAAAGAAAGTATTACTCAGAGAAGCAGTAAAGACCATGATAGGACACTATTCATCGTGTACCTAACTAACGTTGGTTTTTATTAAATATATTTTATTGTATATTTTTTATGAGAAAGCTGTTGAAAGGAATCCATAAATCCTGTTTGCAGTTTATCACAAACCACACAGGATAGATAAGGAAGGTGCTCGGATCACGTCAGGCAAATTTTGAGCTTTGCTATCTACATGTGAAAGTAATACTGCACATCAGCCTAAACAGCCCACCTGCATAGTGAAACATGGTTATGGCAGCATCATGATATGCTAAATAAAGAGAGATTGTGACTTATGTTGGTTTAGCGGTTTAGGTAGTTTCAGCTAGCATTCATTAGATGTGCCAGCATATAGAGACTTGGCACATATTAGGAACAAGCTGACCCTGGGTCATGTAATGACATATCTGCCTCACATGATCTAGATTCTTTTATTTTGAAAAGTTTTTTTTTTTAATCCCTGCCCTTTTTTTTTGCGGCACTAGTGGCTTGTTCTTTAGACAGAAGGCTGACAGGAAAAGGGGTATGAGAGGGAGGGAGAGAGACATGCAGGAAAGGACCACAGGTCTGATTCGGACCCAGGTCGGCCACGTCAAGGACTAGGGCCTCTATACATGGGTCAGGCGTGCTAACTGGTGCGGCACCTGCACACCCATTAAATCCCTGCCCTTTTTTAAATCCCCATTTTTTTTTCACTTAAGAAGGGCTCTTCATATTAAAGTTTCCAGTTGCAATTTCACAACATCTAGAAAAGCTCAAGGAAGGGGGGATGAATTTTCTTAAAAGGCACTATATATGACTACAGAGAGAAAATAAAAGCCCTCAGCAGAAAGCCTTTTAATGATGAAATGCTGTGAGGTTCATTCATAAGGGTTTCCTATTGATGAAATAACCCTGGTCAAGGTCCGACTGTCCTCTATGTCCAAATTAACTGTAGCATCTGCCATCATCAAGAACACTCAGCAACCCCCATTTCTGCCACATCCACCCACCCACTGCCTTCCACATCACCTTCCCACGTCTTCAGCCTTCCAGTCTGCCTGCATCTTCAAAATCTGATGAGGCAGGCACGCGGATGAATACTTAGGAGTGATGTGTTGATGGGGGTTGGGACTGTTGCTAAAGGGGGAAACTTTGCTAATTAATGAAAAAAAAAGCCTCTTCCAAAGTATTTCAGAAGGGTCCTTGCTCCATGGCATGGACTCTGAGTGGATGGATGGGTGGACAGATTATGAAACTATGAGTCAATGTTAGCCAGAGGGAGAAAAGTGTCAGAGGGTTCTTAAGTCTGAGTGACAGTAAGTGTAGAGGTCATGGGGACGCAGCACAGCATTAGCCCCCTCATGAGTGATGCAGAAAACGCAATGGCCTTTTCACATTCAGAGCTTTTACAAAACACTTTGCAGGAATTGTGGTTTACAGAAAAAAAGAAAAACATCCCTCAGTATGTGTGTGATTTTGGCCCACTTCCTAGAAAGACTCTCTGATAGACTCATTCAGGCCAACATTAGTAATGAGACTGGCCGAGCGCTAGCCTGTGTTCCTTGTTTAGTGTGTTTATATTCTAGCTGTAATCCCTGGATCTTGTTTAAGGCCTGTTCACCCAGAGAAGAAACACCCTCTGGTGCAGCGTAGGAAAAATGAGTTCTTTTTGGTTTTCTATATGTGCGTGTAGATGACATTTTTGTGCTTTAAATTTGTGTATGCTTGCACGCAGGAACTTTCAAGTGTTCCCACTTGTAGTGAGACATTGTTCATCTGCTGTGTAGGTTTTTTTTTTTTTTTGTATTTATATTTATGGAAATGGAATGCCATGCTTCTCTACAGGATGTGAGGAATAGCCTTTTCCCCTCAGAATTAGCATTTCTTTCCTTTTTAGCTGTTGATTTTACCACTGAGAGTTCTAGCGCCTAAGGTTCTAATATCTCTTTAAATTACAGCTGCATCACTGCATTTTAATTTAGTTCTGTTTGACTGGTACACTTTAATTTGATTTTGGAACAGAAGGAAGTTTAGCGTAACTATATGTACATTGCTCATGTAAATATTTGGTTGTTTGCATATAACCTTGCATGATATTCATGTATACTTGTCAGATTGGTTGTGTGTCTGTATGTATTAGCACAACTTTTGCATTAAAGAGGAAGAGAATTATGTCTTGCTTCTCTTATGCAAAGATTTTTCAAACGCTTCCTGCTCTTTTTTTGAACTGTGCCAAGATTTTCTGAAAGTCAAATAGAGAGGGGGTAGACAGCGTGCGTGTACCAGTTGGAATTAATTGTAACAATTGGACATATAATGCCGAAACTGATTTAGTTTAGATTTTATAAGTTCTTTCTCTTTGATAACTTTTTTGCTGTATTTTTAATATCTTCATTTTCATCACAGTTGCAGATTACATTTAAATTTGTCATTCTACAAGGCTGAGTGACCCAGAGGGAGAGTCTATCCAAACTGGTGATCATCTGGCAAACTGATAAACTCCAAAACGAAAATCTCCTGTTCCATAGCGAATAGATTTAGTAAAAATCCTTAAAAATAGAAAATGCATCAAATGAAGTTAAGATCGATATCAATGAACAAGCTCCAGATCTTGATGTGGTAGTATTCAAAGATATATGTTAGCAAGCACGAACAACTTGACCAATTATGGCTTATTTCAAAAGCTTTATAACACACTTAATTTAGATAATTGTTTAAATTCATAAAAATATACACACAGGTACATTAAGATTTAGTTTGCTGTTTACATAACGTAATCCTCATCCACCCATTAAGGATATATTGAAGGATATTGAGAGGAAAGTAGGTAAATGCTTGTAGAAGATCAGATCTATTCTTTTCAATGCTCAAAATAGCAGAAAATGTTTTAAAATTCTGTTTTCATGAATGCCATGTAGGAGTTTGATTTTTCAGATGAAATCTCTGACACGTTTATAACATGTGCACAGCTTCAGCTGTAGCACATGATAAACCTGAAATGGTGCCTATTTATGGAGCTTTTAGTGATTAGAGTACATGTTTCTAAACATAGAACATTGTATAAAAGTATGTACTAGATTTCTGTGAAACTAAACTCATAATTCTAAATAGAAACCTGCAAAAAACATGTCCTTAAATTTTACTTAAATGTCCTTTAATGTTTTACTTCAAAATATAAATATAACATTTTCAATTGTGTTTGTTATATTACTTTAAATTCATGGAACAGGTCACTTTAATATTGATTTACTCAGTTATTGGAACTGATTTTGCACATTTTCCCCCTCTGGTGCCATTTCTTTTTTTGTTTTTCTACCAGACAACTCTGCTGATTTCACATGAATTGATGCCCATGAATATAAGCAGTTAATGTTAAAATGATTTTAACACCTCATCTTTCAGCATTGATTACTTATTGTGTTATGGAGGACTTCCCCACCTGACAGGCTTTTCATCTCACAAGATGTTACCTTCTACATGACAAAGATTTTCACAAGATATCTTCTTCTGCTCTATTCATTAGACACTTTGACTTTGATTGTATGATTTTACTTTAACACATCTAAAGAACTTATTCAGCATACATAATCATGCTTTTAATAAAATTGTAAAAACAGACCTATTTGTATAACAGGAATTAGCAGCAACCTAAACAGTTTTATGACTGAAAGATTGTGTTTATTTCTACTGTTATCAAAGAGAAACATTACTTTTCTACTCTCTAAAATGGGATACTATATTAGTATCAGTAATAAATGTTAATTGGTGTCATGTTGATGTTGAAAAAAAAAACCCGTATGTGTTCATATATGTCTTGAGCGCATTTTAAAGGCACAAATCTTATTTTTCGCTTTCTTTTGGCAAAATAATCATTTAAACTTGGCCGTTCGCTTGTGGTGAAATTAGCAAAAAAAATATTATCAGCCAAGCTTATGAAATTACACAACTTTAAAGAGAAATTATTATGCTTCCTTTTTATCAGGTTAGGATGGATCAATGGGATACATAAAAGATATTCATTACATTCTCACATAATGAGATTTCACCTCTTTAGTTCTGCCTATTTTGAACTCCTTTAAGAATAAGCTGTTTTAGAGCTCTGTGATTGTTATGGAAATAAGCTGTATCAGGCTGAGTTTTCCCTTTTATGCAGAAAATCTTTCAATTATTCAAACTGCTAAACATTTTTTTTTACAATTTGCTGAATAAAAAAAAAAATAGAGTACATAGATAAATAAATGACTCTTCCTATGCATAATTCTGGTAATGCTTGTCGAAGTCCACTCCTGCAAGAGGGGGCTGTTTTTCTTTCGATCGATTAATGTTAAAACTTAAATGAAATAATGAACTAATAAGTTTATTTCCCAAAAACGGGTGGAAAAAGAAGCACTAATTTAACATGCAAATATTGTAATGAATGTCATATAATTGCTTTATGCATAATTTAGCCCTTTTGCCGAAAAATGTGGCTCCATAAACCTGATTATTCATAAGTCTCCCCTAACTGAAGTGCTTATTGCTAGCATTTCCTTTTCTAACATTTTTGGAATGTTTTATAAAGCCCTCCATTTTTTCTGTTATCAAATCTTTACCTTTCAGGCAAATTAGAGAGGTTGACGCATCTCAGTGTAGCACAGCTAAATAGCCACTATTTAGGTGATTACCAAAGGAATATATTTTGTGTTTATATTTACATACAGAAGCACATAAAGTGCATTCTGCACTCCTGTTGCCATTAAACAGCTTAAATATTCCAAGACTGATCATTTGATCCATTCATGTTTCTACTTTACTATGTTCTGTCTATCATTGCATTGGGGGAGCAGTAGAAACCGAAATACAAAAATGTTCAAAGTGATATTTTTGCATTACAGGTCCCCTCTAATTAAAGGGCAGCATCTATGTAAACTTGTCTGCCATGTTTCAAAATGGCAGACCTCGAGAGGTGACGCTACAAAACATTCCACTTCCAGGAAATCTTGACTCTCTGTCTAAGTTGCTTTAAATAAACAAATAACACCATATACTTCTTACATACCTCACTGGTGCATCCCGGGACAGAAACTTTCTGCATCTCTTAAATATGGTGTCTGCTTTAACTTTTGCAGACTATATTTTTTCCCTCACTGAATCTGGAATCAAAAACATGCAAACTTAATATTAAAGTTTTATTGATGTCTAAGCCCCTTAAGAAGAAATCAGCTGGGTATGCTCTGAAATTTTAATGGAACAACTTAATTATAAGCCAGTTACACGGATTGCTGCAGATCTTTTCATGTTTCAACAGCATCCAGCAAAACAAGAAAAAAATGCTGCATGGCTCTGATTTTCTTACCAATCATTGGGTTTTCTTCCTCTTTTCTTAAATTGTCTAACAGCACAAAAGCTTTCAAGTTTTAAACAAGTTTTAGTGGATATTGTTTACTCTGTGGTACAACAATATAAACTTTAATTTTATTCTTACAGAATTGGTTTTGTTTTTGTATAGGGTTTTACAGTCTTCTGAGACATGTCTAATTGAGATTAACCAATTAGTACTTTTTGTGTTTTATAAGTGCAATTGCAGCATATTAAATTCAGCGATATAGTGTATGTGTACAAAGCATAAGGTTTCTCACACTAAACTTTGTTGTATTTGACTCATTCTGAAGTTTACTTAAAATTAATTTTGCTAGGGATAGGAAAGAGGATTGTTGGCCTAGTGGTTAGAGCAGTGCACTTGTGCTCTGAGAAGGTTGCAAGTAACCGGTTTGATCCACACAGCCTCCACTCTGGGTTCCTGAGCAAAATACATAACACCACACTGCTCCCCGTGCGCCACACCATCCCCATTGTGGGACAATAAAGGAATTTACATTTACATTGCATAAACTTAAGGGACATTTTATATTGCATCTATTAATACTACATATAAACTTTTTTTTATCATCAGATCAAGCTGAAGAAGTGTCTGATTTTGTTCAGCAGGGGATTTCTTGTTGTATTTCTATTATACATCTTTTTTAAACCATTTTGATCACAATCAACTGGGTTTTCCTTATATAGAAAAGGAATAACCGATCTGTGCTTGAATTGTCTCTGTAAAGTGACTTGGGAAAACATGTGTTATGAATTGGCACTATATAAATGAATTGCATTATTGTATACAATGCTGTGTGTGGAAGTAAATTCCTGCAGTCTATTTGATGTCTCTGATTTCTTGTCTTATCTAGATTTCGCCCTGTTTTCTGTTGCTTTTCTCTCTCTTCAGGCGGAGTATTTCAGCTGTGTGGCGACAGTAGTGTACATGCGTAAAGAGAATTGCTTGTATCAGGCATGTCCGTCTGCAGACTGCAACAAGAAGGTGATAGACCAACAGAACGGTTTTTACCGCTGCGAAAAGTGTAACAGAGAGTTCCCTAGCTACAAATATAGACTCCTACTTTCGGTGAGTATGATGCGCATACAGAGCAAACATCATCAAAGCTTGTCAAACATGCCCTGTGTTTTCTGAGTGATGACACCAACACACAAGCAGACAAACAGAAGTAATATTTTGCCTCTCCCATCATCTCTCGCTGTCTTGACTCTCAGGCTAACTTGGCAGACTTCGGGGATAACCAGTGGGTGACATGCTTCCAGGAGACAGCTGAGGTCCTGCTGGGTCGCAAGGCAGAGGAGCTGGGACAGCTCAGAGAAACAGTAAGACTGTCTCCCTCACACACACACACGTACCCCTACAAAGCACACAAAAGTAGAAGCTGCCTCACACAGTTCTTCTTAACAATTTGGCCCAGGAGGTCTAACTGTAACGGACTGCTGCCTTTCAGAGTTTCCACCAGACTGTACCGCTGACTCTGTGTGTGTGTTGGTGTGTGTGTTTATTCCCAAGGACGAGGCTGAGTTCGATGAAGTCTTCCAGAAAGCCAACTTCAAAACACACATCTTTAAAAACCGAGTCAAATTGGAGACGTATAACGTAAGTAGAAATGAAAAGAAAACGGTTGCATGTTTTCCTGTGGGATGTAACTATGCATATTCAACTGCATCAATTGTGATAATGCTCTGGTTCCCTTTTCTGAACAAATGCAATAACTCAATCAAAACCCTGTTTGTAACTTATTTACCCTATTTTTGAGGAATCTACATCTAAAAAATTAAGAACACCAATTAAAAGCGAATTAGATTCAGTAATTCAATTCATAAGTTGAAATGGGTTATTCTTGTACTACAGACAAACTAGTGCTGAGCAATATGACCTAAACATAAGAGCTAATTTTTTTTTTCAAAACCTAATCAGACTCCTTCATAAAACAAGATTTACCTTTAGAAACTTCACCTCCATAGGGAGTTGATCTGAATTCTAAGTGCCACTAAATAAAAGCTATAAACATGCTCTAAATGTTGCTAGTGCCATTATGGAGCGTTAACACCGAATGCGGTGTCCACAACAAGAGTGGTGGATTTACATATCCCTACTCTAAGTGCGCTGCCAGGAGCACACAGGCAGACTGCTGAAGTTAAAAAATCGGAACTTTTCTGTGATGTTGCAAAAACCAATAAAAAACAGGCTGTGTTGTGGATTGAAAGAGTGCAGCTGAGAGGCAATTTTTTCAACCAAAATGGAAGAACAATAAAATAATATTGACAAAAGATGAAATAAGGAATATTCTTAGCATTTTTTTTTTTAGTTTGCTTTCTAAAGGGAAGTTTTAATTTAGCCCTACTGTAGAAGGACTGGTCATCATCTTCCCTTACCGCCAGTGCAGACACCAGCCTGTTGCTGCTGCCTCTCCCCTGCTCCGGCGCTCTGTCTACTCGGCGGCTACTCCAATGTACTGTTGTTCTGAGTTCAAATCCCAGCGTATGGTCTCTGCATGAAGTTTGAATGTTCTCCCTGTACATGATTGGGTTCTCTCCTCTAGAGCTGAAACAATTAATCGATTACTCGTGATAAATCGATTTTTGAAATTATCATCAATTGATTTAAATATCGATTAACCGCTAACTAGTGTAGAGACTCTAAGCTGGCAGTAATCATACCAAGATTGTAAAAATATATAAACATTTTGCATTTAAGATAGAAAAAATTTAAAAAAAATAGGGTCAATATGCTCTATGCAGAACTCCACAAGTTGAAAAATCTGAGTTATACCTTGTTTAATTTCATAAAAACTTGTGTTTAAAGAGTCTGTTGCTATCCATTTTATTAATCGATTAATCGAAAAAGTAATTAATTTGCAAAATAAACGTTAGTTGCAGGCCTACTCTCCCTGTACTCCTGCTTTTCCCAGCAAAGTCAATGAACTTTTAGGGTAATTTGTGTGAATTTGTAACTGTATACTGTATGGTTCTATGTCTATGTGCTGCTCTTTAATCCTTCACTAACTCCCCTTGAAATGGCAAAAAAGCATTAAAAGATGGGTTAGGGTTTTTATTGGCTCATAAACACTGCCATAGATACAAAGATCCTCATTTGTTTAACTTAGACACCTTTTTTGTTTTGTTTTTTTTAGATTATGTGCTTACTGTTAGGCAGCATAGTTGGTTGGCAGAGATGTAAAGATGCCAAAATAGGTTTTTGTTAAAAGAAAATCAATGAAACGTTTACTGTAATGTGTTTATTCCTGGGACTAATTGATGAAATTGCTGGTTTACAGGTGAACAGAATTAATTTTCTCCTTGACTGATTTACGCAACAACATACATTTTTTTCCCTCTGTGAATGTCCTTCAATTAACCAACTACTTTCCTCTTGCATTGGCAGTCCTTTGGTGTGAGAGCAAGAGCACTGAAATGGCCAAATTTGGAAGCACCTGAAAAAATTATACCGTCATATTAGAAGCGATAATGCATGACATAAATCTCCCAAAGGAGGGATACGCAAACTATTATTTGTCTGTTACTGAACTGGAGTCCCGAGGTTGTAAAACTACCAAACAAGATGTACAAACACAATGTAATCACAAAACACTGTCAGTCACACAACATAAACTCAGAACCATTTCAATTAGTAACAGAGCAACAGGGGGGTTGTTTTGTAGCCAATGCACTTTGGATTGCAGAAAACAAATACAGCTGTGGATTCATTTCTCTTAATTAGGCGCTAATTAGCATTTAGCTATTGTCTGTCTATGCCTAATTAGCCCTACTTATTCAAAGGCCAAATTGCCACTAAGGGCACATAATAGGAGGAACGATTAAGATTCAGATTTATCAAAGAAAGATCTGTGTCTTGACCTTATGAAATCCTGCAAGCAGTTCTTTGCAGATTTTTGTTTAGCTTTTTTCATATCCTCAAGTTTATAAAATAAGGCATTTTTTTTCCAAAAAAAAAAACCCCAAGGAAAAGAAAATGTTCCTGCTTCAGTCTCTAAAAGACCAAACATCATAATTAGGTAGCCCTATTTAGCCAAATGAGGCAGAGATTTTGCAGCAAATGTCAGTGCAATACCAACAAATGTTAGCAGCAATAATTTTATTTACAAAACACAATACACAAATGTCAGCCATTTTAATACTTGGATGACTTTGCATTTATTTAAGGCAAAATCCTTTAATGAAGGATTTATTTAGTCATGCAGCATTGAAGTGTACTGAACCACATGTGCTGTTATATTTGAAAAATTCTTAAAAGAAAACTCAGAAAGTCTTTTAGCAATCTAGTTCAGCCCCCTGTGTTTACATGCACCGATGATCCAATTCAATGGCTACTGTGATGTTTGGCTTTAAAAAAAAAAAGGGAAGATGGGATATGTGCATGGTTGGTAAAAGCATCCAGCAGTTCATATACACTTTTTGGATGTCTTTCCACTTTGAAAGTATTCATTTACTTAAGATAATTATTGGACGTAATTTCCATTTATATATGAAATTCCAAATGTTAACTACAGATATTAAAAACAGAGTTTACCTGTAAATGAGAAAATGACCCAAGTAATTGTATTGATATTTGGTTTTTTTCATACTACTTATATCTATAGCCATCAGATCTTTTATTGATAATGATATACAATTTATATGTAACTATATTTTGCATTGGGTTGACTCAAAGCATCAAAACTTTCTCTTTAATGTACAAAAATAAAACTTTATCACATATTCATGTGAAGATATTAATGTTTTTAAAGCCAGTTTGGTTCTCTTTTTTTATCAAAAAGGAAGAGTGTGGAAGTTTCTGTGATTAGTTTCTTACAATTTACCACAAAAAAATTCTCAACAAATAAAAAACTATGGGAAAGAAATTATTATGCACCTTCAAATTCATGTTTTACATTTTTTTTAAATATACTGCTAAAAATTGCCTTTACCTAATTTTCTGAAGTAAAAAAACGGAAAAGAATTAGATTTCGTATTTATTTTGCCTATAATAGGCTCATAAGATATAGATAAAATGAATACTAGAATGCTGCATTTAAACTCATTAAAAATCTTTGTTTTTGACACAAAGCATTTAGTAGAGCCAGGAGCTGCTTGTTAGCACTGTTCATAATGTCAGTGGGCATACAATCTCCTTTCTCAGCTCTTTTCTCAGATGAACAATATGCTTATCAGAGTGAGTCAGCTTTAACCTTCTTTTTTAGCAAAAGGTCTCTTTCATCAAGGAAACCTTTAATGGACAATGTAGGCTGGGTTAAAATTTTTACTGCATGATTGTGCTGCTAACTTCGATCCTTGAAGGGCCGCTGTCCATCACATTTTAGATCTCTCTATTTTAACACACCTGAAACAATTAAAGAAGTTATCAGCAGAATTTGACTTCATGCTTAAGAGGTAATTCAGGTAAATCTTATTGATTTAGATGTTTTACAACCAGAGACATATCTACAGTACATTTGACAGAATTTTGGCCGAGAGGAGTTAGACTTGACTATTTTACAACCCAGGATGGTCTAACCAGTTTATAGGCAGGTCAAAGTTCAAACTAAAATATGAGATAAATCAGCTGCTCCTGTTTCTCTCTTTCAAGGACAAGTGAGATCTTTGTCAATGTGGGTTGATTTAGAAATAAGTTATAGTATAATAGCAACAACAGAGTCATCAAGTTTTTGTTGCGGAAAATTTAGGTCTTATTTTTTGTTACACCAACTTTGTTTTCCCTCTCCTTAGGCTTGTACATCGTTCTTGCATTTTTCAAAGACGTTTAAGGTGAAAAATTATAAATTTAAATGATAAATTCTTAAAAACTCCTACAGTGAATCTGGAGTGTTATGTTTTTTCCCACATTGAGTTTTATTATAACCTGTTTCCAAATGGTAGTAATTTCCTTACTAATTATATAAAAACAAAATAGAATTTTAAAAATGTGAAAAAGTTTTTTTTATGTACTGTATGTATCGATCCAGTTTTACTGTTTTTGATTGCGGTCTGTAAATGATCCCCAGATTATAACAGCACTCCGTCAGCAGAAGCAACTTTTAATTAGAATAGAATTTGTTCTCTCTCTGTGGAGAAATGTGCTTGAGTGGCCTAAGTAACAGGTCAATAAAAGCATACACATATGCTCAAAAATTCATAAATACAAAAAAAAAAACAGAAATGAAAAGTTTTAATTACCCT